AATAAGGCACGCTTAACATCTCGACGCCTGCTTACGTTACATGAACCTCTTAGTCTGACTGCACATAGTCGGCTGTTGACTGGGATCCAGTCAAGCAGAGCTGATTCAGCCCTGGCACTTAATACAACCCCAACACCAGCTTGACCTGTGGCGGCAGATTCTGGGTCTCCGGAAAGCCGCAAATAGTATTTGGCGTCAGAGTTTACCGGAGAGGCCATTCTGATGACGGCGCTAGAGTCTTGTAATCTGGTCTCTGAAAGACAACAGATGTCTACCGATAGCGTTTCAAGAGTACGGGCCAGACATGCTTGTCGTCCGATCTGCATTAAAGTTCGAACATTAAACGCTGCGAGGATGAATGGAGAACCAGGTCGAAGAAGAGCTGGAGCTTCGGTGGAGTGAGAGGCGGTTGCGATCGCAGGACATTGAAAACCGGGAGTTTGGCTGTTACTTCCATCAGCTGCGAGACGTGGGTCGTTTGTGACGGTGACCGTAGAAGACACAAGAGAACATGTATGTGAAGGACGGGAGGTGGGGTGGTCTGTGAGTGGACGTTGAGCGGTTGAGTTAAGACAGAAGAGCGGCATAGCAGTAGTAGTAGTGAGCGGTGTAGTCCATGATTCGTCAGTGGGCGTGATACTACCCGGTTGCCCAGGCCGAAGTAGAGGGTTGTCTTAGGGGGGCCCTACCCCGAGCCTTTGATCAAAGATCTAACCTACAAGGCAGCAGGGCGATGTGAGGGCGTCGCAACCCGTTGGGAGCCGGTGACCAAGTAGATGGTTCATACGCCTTTCGGTCCGTGAAGGACCAGGGGCCCAACTCACCCTTAAAGTACAATGCCTCTCAGGGAGGGGCAAGGGGCAGTGACCTTATTTAGTGGCGAGTCACATCCGCCACGTCGCAGTGTTGTTAAACGGACATATGTGGCTTTTTATAGGGAGAACGCTTGCCAGGCGAAAACCCACCACGTCCTGGAACACTGCCGCCGAACCATTCGCTGGAACGGGAAATACCCGAACCACCCAGCTGGCATCACGAGGAGGTTGTTCGGCAAGCCAGCCAGCCTAGCGGATAATCCAATGTGGCCCCAAGTGGGTTATTTCTAAGCCAACTGGTGTACTTGACTGTGGCGCACTCGGAGTTCCTACCAGGGCTCATTAAAGAAAACAACTGCTCAATTCGCTGCATCGTCCCCCCAAGTGTGCGTCGGTCATGCTTGAAGCCGCATCGCGTGCGTCATGTGACACGTTGCACGTGTGCACACGGATGAGCGTGGCTACGGCGAACATCACCGCTGCGTTAGTCAACGTGACCGTGCAGTCCGTGCCAAGGCGATCACGTAATCTCACGCCGCGATCATAGTCCATGAGCATGGCTCATACGAGTGCACACGTGCAATGTGTCTCAATACGCACGCGATACAGCTTCAAGCGTGACCGATGCAAACATTTGGGGGGACAATGCATCGAATTGCAGATGCATCTGAATTGCAGTGATATCGACCTTATCGCAGCGTTGTGCGTCCTTACTCTCTAACAGACTGATGTATCACCGTATACACCGACGACGCGGACATTGCTGACACACACGCACATAAACACACACACAGCTATCCCTTCAGCGAGGTGACCATAGGTGATGCAAACACAGACAGGTGAACTAATTGATCGGTAGCGGCTATAACTACGGTATTCTGGTAGCCCTGCTAACTTATTTTGAAAGATATACTGTTCGAAATGAGTTGGAATATTGGTAGCTCGGGAGGCTTGCTCAGTTGTTGTGGAGTTCTCCGAGCTGGGCAACTTGGTTGCAAACGTTTCGCCACCATTCGAGGTGGCATCTTCAGTGCGGGATTGATAGCATTAAAGTAGCAGTAGCTGGTAGAAAGCAAAACCCAATAATGGAATATACCGTATGCAGCATTCGGCGTCAATAAATCCGAAGGCGTGGGTACAGAGCTTGAATCCATTCTAAGCAGAGCTGCGTTCTCCACGTGTCCCACGTATCTCCAGTCTGGAAGTCGTCTGCATGACGGAGTAATCCATGAGGAAAGTGGAAAACAAATGGTCTGGGACTAGTTACTACTAGTCCGAGACAATGCACGTAATTAAACATCGATATCAGAAGGTAAACGAAGTCGGACACAGCGGACTATATGCGACGGGCTACACAAAGATTTGGACGGATGAAGCGAGACAGAGGCAAGCGTTAGCGCGATAACTTATGTGGCAGACGGGTGTTATACTGGACGTAGGCCAAGTGTAAGGGGGATTAAAACAAGAAAGAATAATGTACAACTGACTAGCAATAAAATCGTACGTGAAAAATAAGTTAATTCTTTGCGCGCCACAATAGAAAATGTGATAAGATCGGTACGATCCACTTGTTGTGGACCACCTGAAAGTTCCCTGTAAACCTTTACTAGCCCACGGCGGTTGTGTTAGGGATTTCGAAAGAAACGGTTTTCCTGGTACTCCTTTCAACAACAAGCGGCATCACAATCTGATATGGTTAACTGATTCAGTCATCTTCAAGTCAATGAAAATCACCATGCTGAAGCGTCTGTTTGGAAACAGGACGTAGCGTAAACGTGAAAGGCAGGCGAACGTTTGCTTACTGGTCATACAACAGGACCAGTGAGTGGTGGAGGCTGGCTCTGGGCTTTACACCACATAGATACTGTGCGGATTCACGGCACTGGCAAAGGAAGTCCTGACCCGGATGGCCAACCGCTGTCCTCTGCACGGGCAGTAGCCTGCATGGCAGTGAAGGGTGGTTCGGGCTATATGGTTGTTAAGTTTCATTCCGTGATGACCGGCTATTGTCCTCCGTGGCTCAGCGGCCTAGGCTGCTGGCTAGTGGTGCAAGCCACTAGCGTTCATGGGTTCGATCCCCAGCAGAGGGCCGAGGGAATGCGCACGATTGATGAGTTCCAAAAAGACGAAACTGCCGTCTCGTTTCCTCTCCGGTTTAGAACCTTACATATGCGTTTTGGAAGCTAATCGCGAGGAACCAACTAGTACCATACTCATAATACTCAAAAACAAACCTCTGCCAGTCTTCAAAATGCTGTGTGGATTCCCGGACTGGCAAGGGAAGTCCTGACGCGGACGACCACCATCCCGAGGAATGCGGAGCTGACGTTCAGATTTCGGGGCCTCGAGATTCTTGATTGATACGCGTTTCTCTGGAGACGGCTGAAATTGGCCATTCCCTACAATGTGGCCCAAACACGCAATGGACTTTTGAACAAGCAGCGATTTATGTGACTAAGATTCAGACCGCCTTCCTTCACTGACTCAACATGGATGATGATAAACGATGATAAAATCTGCTGTTGTACAATATACAGCGTAATAACCAACCTGGTTGCATCGGAAACAGCGGCGCCCATTCGGTCTTCCGGACCAATTGCATTGTGTCTCCGTTAGCGGTGTTTCGCTCAACAGCCGCGCCACCACCCGCGATAGGTGGTCCAATTTACGTATTAGCTCTGACGGCCAGATTCTTCCCATCGACACCGGCTTCGAAAAAGTGGGCCACAGCTGCAAGTTCTTCTGTCTTGTTGACCCCAATCATGGATGCCAATTTCATCTTTCCTGTGTGGGTTTGGACAGACTATGGACGAATACGCCTCTCAGAGGCCGCTCTCCCGCGTCGCCCTCCAGCTCCGGAAACGCAACCTCCAAGTGTCTGTTCAGCCTCTGGAAGAACACCATCAGGTCTCCTTGTTCCTTCCATTTCACTGAATGAAACTGTTCCAGCGCTTGTAGTCGGTCGATCTCCTCCCCGAACTCCGCACAAAGTGCCGCGTTCATCTCAGCAAACAAGCAACCAGTCTTAACCTTCCGAGTTAGTAGAAAGTTTACCTTCGCTTCCCTACAGCAGCGTGCCCAAGACGGTCAGTAAGTTGGCATCCCTTTGACCCCGTTACATGCCACAATCGCCTCAAACTCCTCCAACCAAGCGTCCACATCCCCTTCAGTAAACCGCGCTGGGCAGGTCGGTTTCATCCTAATTATTCACGGTACTAGTGCAGCAAGAACGACGCGGCTATGAAGCACAACTTTTAGTGACCCGAGCACAAGTTGTCCGACCACTCACGTAGGCACTCATGTATGAGTTATGTTCCCTTCCCACAACGCACCATAACTCCTGGCGCCCGCTCGCGACATGTCTATGCGCTTTCGCGACCTGGTGGTGGAATATTTCCCGCCCATTTCACCCCCGTATCTGCACCGCTACGCATCCCATTCTGATCGACCTGTAGCCGTTCGGAAGCTCGTGGTTTTCTTGATCTTGAATGCATCACTATGCATGGGGTCAGTCTTGGAAGCTGCAATAACAGCGTTTTTGTCTGCTTTGTTGCGTTTTTGACGAATACCCTCTCTGTTCTGCTTGGCTTAGACTCACTACTGGTCACTGCTCGTGACTCGTTATAGTCTCGTTCCCTCAGACCATCGTTGCTCCGTCTGCCATCCCTCACTGGGCCTATTAACATTTCCGTCTGCCCCTGTTTTTGTGGTCCTTCGGTCTTCCGGCCAATCACTGCCTACCGCCTCCATTCAGTGTATTCGATCCCCAGCAGGGGACCGAAGGAATGCACACCACTGAAGAGTCCCAATAGGACCAAACGATCGTCTGGTGCTTTTCCGGATTGACAGCTCACCTATGCGGCTTGTGACCGAATTGCGACGACCCAAATAGAAGTACACGCAAATCCATCCACTCATTAGTATTAATAGAGAAAGCACTCAGGAGAACCCAAACATAAGTGGTCGGAGTTGTCACGTATCTGTGATATTTGCATAGCCTATTCAAACGGTATGACGGTGTACGATCTCTCCTAGTCATGGTGGTGGTTCACCGACCATCCGATTTCCGGATCGTACCCAGGACCTGAACGGTCATAAAATTACGTTGCGGAAATGCACACCATCTGTTGAAGTGATCCGCTTAGAAAGTACATGCTAGGATCAACGTAATAAAGTCACCAAGAATGAGCGCAGGTAATCAGTAGCTTCTCATCTAGTTCACGTTGTGTAACTAATTAGTCAAGATTGTGGCCTAAGATCGATGAAGTTTATCAGAAATAAACACAATGCCTTAAAAACGCATAGCGTTTTAAATGCAGTAAAGTGTTAATAGACACTGTAACTAGTGCACTGAGAAGTTTTGGGTGAACAGTGCATTTGCTCGAATGGGAAGGCATCGTACAACGTAAGGATATATTCAGAGATCTTGAGGGAATTGGTATGTCGAAAGTGAAAGTACATATAGGAAGTACATGTGTATAGAGTGGCAGGTATCTGAAACACTTTTCCTATAGCTCGCGCCTACTTGACACATTAGGCAGTGTTTGCTGCAGGCAAATGCGTCCTTGTTTCACCTTATCACACTTGAAGCAGAAGGGCCACACCGCCTAAAATCCACTTCGCCGGTTTCTCTTTCGTCTTCAGATGGAACGTCCATACGAATGTGGGTCCTCTTAGTTTCGTTTTATACACAGGACAAGCATACATGGCAGCCACGCGTCCTTCCTGTCGGTCCGATGGGACTGCTCTCAGCAGCATTACAGGCATTGGCGGAGCGAGTTCTTTAATGCGAGCATCTACCATGCACCCTGCACCTGGATCCCATCGGGCACCCTCCATGAAAAGGCCGTGTACATGAGCGCCTTCTCGCGGTGCAGAACCCATCTCTTCCTTTGTCTTCTTCGTCACCTCTACACTGATGCAAATCTTGTCCAGCGGCCACTCCATTTTTCTCGCGGTCTGTTGCATTACCGCTGTGAGGAAGGACTGCGGATTGAACAGACCACCAATCCATACCGAACCGGGCAGTCCCAAATCTTGTGACCAAATTTCCAAATCCTTCACTCGGTTCAACATGTCCGCGAACCATAATCCCAACGGATACAAGCTAGGATATGCGTAGCGTTCCCACGAAGCCGGTACCTGTAAGGCAAATCAGAACAAGAAAAAATAACAAATGGCATTTGACCAAGAGAGTTTAGCAATAAACGGACTGGTTTGTTGCGTTTCTGGATTAACAAGATGCGTTGACTGTGGTACTTCTAACAGGATGAAATAGAGGGAGGATATCTTGCAAGTCAATTTATGCTTCATTTGGAAAAACCGTTCATTTTCACTGGCCATGACAAAATAGGCGGTGCCCGAGTTAACCTGCTATTAGGTTGCTTCGGTTATAAGGATAGGTTGCTCGAAAGGTGCCTAGTAGGCGGTTTTGGACCTGGGAAGCTTAGGCTTGAGTTATCTGTGGTGTGTCTATATCACAACGCCAAATAAAGACTGAGAGCACGACGTACGCTAAAGGAAATGGCGAGCATCATCTTTACAGTTAAAATGGTGTCCAAAGAAGAGATATTTTCGACCTTAATCACGGTTAGTACTGCACTCCATGACCGGTTTATGGTTGTCTGTACCTATTAAGCAAACCGATCGCATAGACGGGGGTTGGTCTTTAGTCTACCGGACCATCTATTTGTAAGAGCACTGCCCCTGAAGATGCGTGCGAAGAGATCCGCACTGGTATAATCACCAATCCGAGGAGGCTACCCTTTATAGAGGATCATGATAGAATAATCCGTCATTGTCTCCGCAAGATTACAATGAAGTGCTAGTACGCGGTCGAACTGGTGTTGTTGTGCCAAGTCAGGAAACTGGTGTGATACCGCTGTACTTGTGGTTGCAAGTACGTTTGCCGAGGATGTCCACTAGGAATTCCTAGCACATCTCACGTACTATCGTCATGAACGGTCCCAAACTGTCGGCAACCTCCACTGCGTAACATGTTCTGGACTGTTCTACATGTCGAAATCCTTGCGAATCCTCCAGATTAACTGACCAACAGAACAATACCCGCTTGCTTCAAGGATTCGACGGCTAAAACCTAGTTTGTGCAAGTAGACTGCGTTCACGACCGGCCTCATCTTGCCTTGGTGAAGAAGTTGATCGATATAATTAAAACTTTATAAATAAATAAATAAACGGGTAAAATTCGTCACATCTAGACTCACTCAGACAGCCGCCACACGCCCGGAAAAGCACTGTACGCGCGTTTCATCCTTTCGGGAATCATCAGCAGTACGCATTCCATCGGACCTTTGGTAGGGCTCGAACCCGCAACTCGACTGTTGCCAGTCCGTGGTTGAGACCACTGAGCTACGGGGGACGGCAACGACCATCGTGAATAAGTTACTAGATGTGGTATAGCGCCGCTCACTATCCACTGACTTACATGTTACTGGCGTGCAGAGGACAGGGTAGCCCCCTCACCAAGCGACGAGCTTACCAAACTTAAGCCGCCAATTTACTTATGGCGTTATAAACAGTTTGGCCTGCGTACTGATTAGGTGAGGGGGCTACCCTGTCCTCTGCACGGCAGCAAGTAGATAGTGAGCGGCGCTATACCACATCTAGTAACTTATTCACGATGGTCGTTGCCGTCCCCCGTAGCTCAGTGGTCCCCACCATGGACTGGCAACAGTCGAGTTGCGGGTTCGAGCCCTACCAAGGGTCCGATGGAATGCGTACTGCTGATGATTCCCGAAAGGATGAAACGCGCGTACAGTGCTTTTCCGGGCGTGTGGCGGCTGTCTGAGTGAGTCTAGATGTGACGAAATTCCACCTATACCATTCAACTCCCCCTACTACTCTTCTGTAATCAGTACGGAGACCAAACTGCTCATAGTGCCATAAGTGCATTGGCGGCTTAAGTTTGGTAAGCTCGTCGCTTGGTGAGGGGGCTACCCTGTCCTCTGCACGCCAGTAACATGTAAGTCAGTGGATGGTGAGCGGCTCTATACCACATCTAGTAACTTATTCACGATGGTCGTTGCCGTCCCCCGTAGCTCAGTGGTCTCAACCACGGACTGGCAACAGTCGAGTTGCGGGTTCGAGCCCTACCAAAGGTCCGATGGAATGCGTACTGCTGATGATTCCCCAAAGGATGAAACGCGCGTACAGTGCTTTTCCGGGCGTGTGGCGGCTGTCTGAGTGAGTCTAGATGTGACGAAATTCCACCTATACCATTCAACTCCCCCTACTACTCTTCTGAAATAAATAAATAATTTATTCCCAAATTTATAGAGACACACCAAATCAGGCATGGTATTGAACAATGCCTCTTCTTGGAAGCGACACGATAATTTCACGAAGTGTATGTGAACCGCTGATGAGAATACCCAAAATACTTTGATTCCCAGTATCCCAGTTATAGGTTATCCCTTCTAGCTATGTTGCTAGTTGCAAGAGGAAAATCCTGCATGAAACCTTAGGACTTGTCCTTTTCCTTATTCAGCACCGTACGTGGTATCAAACATCATGTATATACATATGTGTATCTTTGGGCGGCGGCGTTTTCGTTTCCATGCTCTACTTAATCAGCCCAGAATACTGCACGTCAACCAGTGTGGACGCCACGAAACCCCACATGACAGACAGCAGCATTTCACTAGGTGCACTAAAACTCATATTGAGCGGAGTGGTGTCGGAAGCACCTTGATATTCTGCTGTCCCGCTACGAAAGGACCAGACATGAATTCTGCCTCCCTCTGACCACCAGAGAGGTCACCGCCTATTTACAAACATTGAGGATACTCATAAGCAGTAACACTTTTACAGTTATCCCATACTTCCACGCAGGACAGACCTCGAAACTCACCTGATCGAGGAACAAGGCGTTGATGAGAAGTTCCATGGCAGCAGAAACCGTCAGCTCACCACGCAGACCTAACCGTAATTCTTTGAGTGAGCGACGCATTTCATCAACCAATAAATTCATACGTTCGCACTCCTGCAGTACGACCACTGCGTAGGGACTGCGCTCCTCCGGTGCCTGGCGAGCGTACAGTTCAGACATAGGAAAACCATCCGGCAATCTGTCTAATAAATCCTCCAGTAAGTTGTTCAACGTCTCCTCGCGGCTAGGTGTGTCGCCCACATCGGCGCCTGCGTCTCTCGGCTGTAATTCGAGTACCACACGGAATATTCTCTCCGATGCTTTAGTCAAGAAATCAATTTCCGCGTTTGGATGTAAACCATACAGATAGGGCGACTCCGGAGGTAGGTTCTTATCAATGTAATCATGATAGCCTACATAGTCACTGTTGGGTGGAACCAAGAAGTTGGGAGCCAAATATAGATCGCCATCTACCTGAAATCAAGAAGGTGGAGATAGTTCAGGAAGAGATTGGTAAAGATAACAATGTAGCAAAACGGCTTCGTTTTTGGATATGCATAGACCAAGAACTTCACTGAGGCTATCCATAAGAGTACAAGATTCTACAACAGCAAAGGCCTTCGAATACAGCTGGACATGTGGGCTAATCATCTTTGTCCAATCGGCTGGTACACACCGCCCGCCGACTCATGCTTTGTGCAACACAAGCTGGGACGGGTACGCAGACACAGTAGGTCCGTATTCGAGGGTTACAGTATCGCTAGTTATTCCTTCCTTACCACCTACGATTTACCACCTCTCTCCTGATGCTGAGGGCTTCAAAAATGTGCTATCGACCAAATGACAAGTGTACTATCCAACTTAATCACGTCTCTACACCGGTGCGGACCGGTGAGAAGTCCCAAAGCATGAGATGCAGAGATGGATCGAATGTAGGTTTGCAAAGTAGAAATTAGGATTTCAGGGAAACAAGGCTATTAATAAGAGTTTCTTCAGCCTAGGCAACCTGATTTATGATTGACGGCCAACGTCGGTCAGCCGAGACAAAGTATAATTGTATCGGCGTCGCTATCTTTGGTGGTATCGGTTTCTGGAACGGCAGAGCAGTAACGACCCACTGCGTGCTTGACCGTAGTTTAGTGAAATAATTCCAATATGTCGACTGATTGAAATGCCGCACAGAAAATGTGCAACATACCAGGTCAGGTTGCAGGTATTCTTGTAAAAACGTCCGGCATAGACGACGGTCCCAGTCATCCGTTATGTGTCCCCCGTACATGATTTCGCCAAACAAGTAACGCAAATCCTCCCAAGGCACTTTGGAGTTCGCCTCCAAGTAGTTGTACAACACATCCAGACAAATGCACAAATCACCAACGTTGAACGGGTATGTACGATTCCAGCCTTGAGCACCGAATTTGCTGCGCTCCGTCACAACGGCGTGGAAATAGCACAGGGCGAACAGAATGGGCTTGAATTCCGCTTCTTTGGTACATCGCTCCAGAGTTTCCTTAAATAACAAGGCAGATAACATTCCACAAAAGGTTAGTAGGTATAATGAGGTATCACTGCACTAAAGGATCATTTGAGTGATTTAACATTGCGTATAAGCAGACGATAGAGGCTAGTAGTTTAGATCACTTGACAAAATGAGATGAGGAATTATTAGTGCTCAAAGAATGCGGCAAGCGCTCGCAGGACGATGCAGTTGGTCTTGTAATGAGAATGATGTGGTAGTGGCTAACACTTCACCTCTTTAGGGCACCATGGAGTCAAAGGGTAGGACGATGGTGTGGCAAATTAAAGCGTGAAAATCGATCACGAAACTGTCACCTGTATGCATCCGGTTCCAATAGGGATCACAGATTAATCCCAGTGGCGATCGCAAAATCTTCGGTGAATCAGCTTTAACTATCTGCACCTTGTACAATTTAACATCTTTGATCTCATATTGCCATGATCCAAGCAATATACAGTAGCGATGAAGGCTAAACTGAACAGAAGTGAACTGGGGTTTTATATGGAAAACTTACAGGATTATCACGAATGGAAGGGTAGTATACAGCTCACACTAAAAAAATCAACTTACCAGTCTACTGACCTGTAACCCAAGCTACACCGGCCTACCTATATTGGATAAAGCAAGGATGGGTGTCCCCGGTAGTCAATAATGAAGAGAAAGTGACCTGAGGCATGATGATTTTGATCAACTATATTCGAACAAGTTCGCGCGATGAAGCTGCGGCCAGTTCGCAAATTGTTAAGACCAGAATAGTCTCTTTTGTCTAAAGGATAGGCACGAAAGAAAATATTGTAAGCGATCTTCATTGGAGGGGGAGGGGGGAATATTCAGATCAATGAGTCAACGTTCTTCCAGATTTACGAAGCGCGCAAAATCAATTTTGAGGTGGTGGAGTACCAAGGCAAACGTAGACTGAGGGTGATTAATTTATATTACTTGACAACTGTGACATCTCTCTGGTATGCTCATCCACTGGTAACTGGTGAATTATGTCCTTTAAACAGGGTTCAAAATGGTGCATCGTTCGTAGAGTGTTTGGGGTAAGTAGATTCCAGATTACCAGACCAGTCTAATCCAGATGGGGGCATACCTTAGTACCGCTTGGTTCGATCGAGGCTATGGGGAAAAAGACAAGTAACCTGTATTGCCAGTGCTGTGTTACTTCTCGGATCCTGAGCAGAAGGTGCAGGCCAGTGGACTGAGGGTGAGGTAGGCTGATTGTTTGGTAAGGTGGAGCATTAAAGAACATAGCGAAGCTGTCATACACACGCTGTGCCACCGTATGCCCAATAGCTTAGGATTCTGTGCAGATTTTGGGATGTGATCGGACTGTTTGGACCGAGTACAATAAGTTTCAGGAGTTGTGATAGGAAAGAAATCGTTTCAATCATGTAGGCGCGTTCCCTCATTAGGTTTACAGATGTACACGGAGGTCTGTCGTTAGTCTGCCGGCCAAGGAGACCCTGTGTGACTTTAGAAAGAAACGCTGCAAACCGTTATTGTTGGCGGCAACCGGGTTGATAGCCTATCATGAACCGTGGGCTGCGATCGGCACTAGTATTGGATTCGACAGTCGTTTAAATTGTACGCAGAGAGGTTAGATCAGAGAGTCTGTTCTAATGCACTTTCAGAGACGCTGCCTCCCGGTGACTGTTGAAGCTCTGTCAAATTGCACGGAGTGTGCTAACTATATAAGACAGTCTAATATGCGTTTCACTCACGAATAACCGAGATGTGTTCGCGCCTTTGCCGAATGGAAAATGCGCTATGTGGAGAGATTTCATCCTAAGCGCTGACAAGAAGTAGACGGTAACAGGACTAAAACGTGGTAAGCGATTGGTTTACATAGGTCATGGAAAGGGACTTTACTCCAAAGCAAATACACCACTCATAAAGTCAAGCCGCACTAAGGACCATAATATTCTTCCCAGACACCTAGGAGGAGGGTCGTATGAACGTCGCTTGAATGGACTTCATTCGCATCCCAGCTTAAGTTAACTGTGGTATTAACAACAACAACTCCAAATAGAGATTGTTTGTCCCCCGGTAGGCCACCTGCTACCCATGTCCCGTCCAGGGTATCCTCAGTGTCAGCAGTATTCATGTACCCTTGGCCAAATGACAGCGCCGTGATTCCTGGGAAACCGAAGACGGAAGTCAATAATGGCACACATCGATAGTGTGCATGATGCCTGACAACTCCAGTGTAACAACGAAAACAGGCACATTTATATCATTAACAGGGATCAAAATCGCTAAAGCAGTACAATGTCTAAGAAGAGCGAACGCAATCACAATGTAAACCGTGCCCCCGTGTGGAACTTGTATGAATTTTTGCACACAGCAAGTAACCTAGATGAACGAAAGTTAACACCTTGTTTTCCCAGGTTCGGAATATACCACTAGGTCTACAAAGCGTATTAGCATGAAAGGCTAACAGCGGTTGTTACAAATGTAGGAGCTCACCACCCGCCTTCGATGTTACCGCCTGGCTCATGAGGTTCTTTGGGAAGCAACAAAACAATGCAGCAAATATCACCCGATTCCTAAGGGGATAGAAGTGAAATGCACTTTTTACCGTCTATCCTTTTAGTGAGGTAATCCACGAGGTTCGTTAGTAAGGACCGCTGCTGGAGCCGACGTTATTTGATAAAATCTTATTACAGGAGATGAAATAAGAAGCGGGTGGTGGCCAGCTGCTCACTTCGGAATGGACGTCAGGGTTCAGCGGTCGTTGTTGATAAGTACCCTATAGCCTTTAGGCAAGTAATCCAATGCTGAATTACAAACGTCCTTATGCCGCGTGGTCCCGGACCCAAGTTCTATGAACGGCTTTTATTGGTCTAGAGAATTCGGGTAGTGATAGACCGGCTTAGGTTCGAGCAGATGGTTCCGCTATTACAAAACTAATGTTGAGATAAAGAGACTTTTTGATGCATCCGAATCATGTGATCACTAGCCTAATTTAAAGTGCAAAACACCGGCATTCCAAAGGCGTATTAGTGTTATGCACCGAACATTAAAGTGGTAAAAACTTATAGGGAAGCAGGAGGAGGCTTCCTCAAACCTATTCGCAGTTAGCAAAATGTGATCCTTTCGAAATATGGACTACGTCACAGTAAATGTAAACCAACCTGAGTAAAATTGTCCAGTGCTTTGTGTAAGTTCGCGTGCATTCCCGTTGGTGGTTCGTTGGTGATTTTGATCGAATTTTCTAAAATGCCTTGAGGAATGATGTGAGCAGCAGGGTCACCAGCAGGTTCCGCGCTGATAAACACTCGGTAGTGAGAATGCGCAGTCTCGGAGTATTGTTCCAAACGTTTCTCCAAGGTGCTGAGCCAACGTGCGACCAGATGAATGTTTTGCAAAACCACCCAATGTCCTTCGCGGGCGGCAGTTTCTAGTGCAGCCTCAGCAACCACTTCCTGACCCTGACCGAGCGAAATGTTGTGAAAGTTACCCTGATCTAAGGTAAATCCGAGCTTCCTTCCCAAAACTTCCACATCTTTCAGAGGGTCGACACCGGGAGAAAGGATAAAGAATATCGGAACAGCAGAGTTGGATTCCTTGAAGGACTTGGCAAACTCCACTTGCCGCGCTTCGACATATTTCATCCCAAAAGTGGTACCGATATAGTGTCGTAACGCGTAGGTCATTCGATCATGTCGAAGAGCACGCATCATGCACAATTTCTCCGCAGCGCTTTTGTTCTTCCACTCTTGTGGAAATTTCTCCTTTTCAGGAGCCTCGGTTTCCAGAAACGCTTTCCATCGTTTCGCTGAGGCGACGATATCCTTGTCCAAATCTCGAAAGTTACTCATTTTGACTAATGTTTGTACTCCCCCCCAATTTAAGTCACTCAGAAAATCGACCGGACTTTTCACATCTGGCACAACTGGATAACGCAGTAAGAAGTCCATGAGAACAGGTGACAGTTCTTTGGAAGCGATCTGTACTTGCAACACCATCAACACGAGGAAGATGAGTTTGTCCTTCTCGAACAAACCACGCGTGGTGTATACGAATATGGAATAGGTAATGTTGTCTAACAGGCTGGCTAGACGTTCCTTCTCAGTCTCTGCTTCTGGTGCGGTGTCAATAGCATGCTCAAAGACAGTGCGAAACGCCTTGAGCGAAAATTGATACATTGGATGGATGTGGCATAAGTCATTCATCACGAAGTAGATAAGTGCCGCCCGTGCTGCAGCATTTCTATAATGTTCACGAGCTTGGTTAATCTCACGCTCTGTCACTTTGGCTTCTGCGACCTTTTCCTCAATGTCCTTAGCGGTTTTTTTGTTTGTCTCCAGATTCTCGACCAGAGAGTGATCACCTAGAAAGTTCCCACTTGATGTAGCCAGTTTGGCCAACAGTGAATCCTCCAAGTTCTTCAGTGTAATCTTAAACTCGTTTTGCTGTTTCGTCAAATCGGATTTGAGCCTCTCCAAGTCGGGACGTTCTTTGCTCACGACCACAGCTAGCAGCTGATCTTCAAGGCCATCGCGAGTCACAGTGAAATTGATCAGGGTAGTTTGGGCCTGTAGCTCTGGCTGGTAATGGGGGTTAGCCAGTTTGGTTTGCAAAAGTAGTCGGAAATTCGGATTGTACGGAATTTCCCGATCGCCCATCTTGATTGCGCTTCCCTTCTTGATAGTCTGACGTCCAATGATGGGGTCGAGAATTGGATCGACTGTCTCACCGATATTCTCGATTAGAACGACACTCCCATCCGAAATCGCCCGTTCAATCTGATCCAGATAATTTTTCGCTCCCAGTCGTGTGACCACCAGATCAGAACCGTATTTCACTTTGATCCATTTGATCGCTTGTAACTGGGGATCAACACAAAGAGGCCACCGTTCACAGAAGCTAAATATAGCGGCATTCTCCACGGACATCCGATCCTCTGGAAGTGCTTGATTGTTCCAAGTTGCAATGATAGCGTCATCGACCAGCATGTACAATGGATCGATGCCGTCTCGAATGGGAATTGGGACATTTAACCGTTTCATAAAGGTCCATAGCCTTTTGTCCAACAACTGCTGTCGAAAAGGCTTACTCAGGTAACCGAAGTAGGAAATAAACGTTGTGGTTACCAAGACATCTCCTATTACAGTCTCACCGAGCTTACGCAATACCTCTACTTGTTGAGCCCAACGCACATTTTCCGATGCAAAGCCACTAACCAGTCGATTTGCCAAATCCAGTGTTTTGGCTGTGAAATCCACCTCTTGTTGACATCGCAGTTTCTCTTCAGTTGCTTCACGAAAATTGGCTGTCAGTTCTGCCAGAGAGGCTTCGAGAACGGCTATCTTCTTTTGCAGTGTCTCAAGTTTTTCGGTGGCTTGACGCAGCTCTTCATTTGCAGCGTCTAGAGCGTCACGTTTCGGTTTGACTTCCAGATAGACTTCATAGAATTTCAATATATTAATCACCCACGAGCACAGACCGGCAGCAGCGGAAGATTTCGTCCGAATCACTTCCGGATCAAAGTTAGGCATTTTGACGTATTCTAACGCAGCTTGCTTGCTGTTCTGATGAATATTTTCTTTGTCGTAGTGCAGCAGATTATACAAAAATTGGTCAACCTTTGACATAATCCCTGCCTTTGCAGCCCTCCAGCTACGATCTTTGGGTAATTTTCCATCCATAGCAAAGAGACACATTACAGCGGAGCACACGAGGACTACATCTGGAGGTGGGTTTGTGAGCGCCTTCAACTCGGTCAAGTTGTTTTTGTTCAAGGTGTTCAGCGCCTCTTGCGCTGCGATTAAAGCTGGTTCGGCTTTGCGCAAATCCTCCTCACAATCACGCTGCTTCAAAGTCACTTCGGCTTTAATCACACTGACCTTGGCTTCCTCTTCCGCAGCGATCTCTTTTTCGGCAGAAACTTTTTCCGTCTCTTGGCCAACCACAGCAATCAACTTTTTGGCATTCTCACTCTTCTCCTTCACCACAACCTCCTGTTCCGCCAACTGAACCTTCAACTCGCTCGTCTGTTCGCCTGCTTCTTTCAGTCTTTCCAAACCATTCACAAGTCGGTCGATCTTTTGCTGCAGTTCCTCGATCTGATCACCGACCATGCGTTTATACAGGCTGATTTGTTCCAAGAAGGATTTCGGAGTGGTGTAATTGTGACGACGCTCCTTTTCCAAATACTCTCGACTCAACTCGTTTACCGTGGTGTGGACGTAGGCCATGTAGCGGCTCACAGATGGGCGAACCTCGTCCTTCACAAGAGCAGCGGACAAAGAAAAGAAGAAAAGTATCGTCAGATCATTTGGAGGAAAGGATAATTTGAACTCCTTAGTAAAAAAACAGAAATTTGATGGGTACAAACATGAAATGTTATTGGAAATGTGTTTAACAATGTGCAGAACCCCCAATGGATTCATAGGCAAATGGATCTACTCAATGAGGCGGGTGTTCGACACGATTATTGAGCAGGGAGTAATACCATCCTTTTTGGGTTAAATAACATAGACGGAAGTGCACTGTGAACACATGAAGTAATCGCCTCGATTAAACTGTCACCGCAGTGTCGGTCACCCCTTATCCATCCAGCGGCCGCATTTGTGTGTGTCTCAAAATCACTCCGGGGTTCTGGCCGCATTCAAACCAACAGGTGTGCAAATCGCAACTTAGGCGTGCCAAAAGGTAGACGGTCCATAGGCTGTGTCCCAAAGACACGTGCTACGAAGCCACGTACCCAAAGAATAATGGCCCCAGTAATGATCAACTGAAGACACAAAGTCAGTTTATCCATAAAATCGGGATTGTAGTCCAAAATAGATCATTTGACTTCGTCTGGAATTGATGGCTGCAGTCAAGAAGCAGAACAAGAGAATGAGCCCGAAAATTAACGATCAATAGTTGTGGAAATACGGTAAAACCTCCACAACTCGACCACTCAACGGACTGGACCAAAGTGATCAACATATAGAGATGGTCAATATTCAGAGGTCTGGATCCATAAGGTTTACATGGTGAACATCCGGGCGATGAAAAATGAAACAGTCAACTTAGTGAGGCGGCCAACTTTGGAAGTTTTGCTGTAGCACAGGACAAACCAATCTAATGTGAGTAATGGGGGACATGTCGGTAGTTGATACCTAAATGTAATAGAGTTGTAGAGGGTCTAAAAGGAATAGAGTGAAGTTACCGCAGCCGATCAAAAGGGATGTATTTATCGACATCTGGACCACCTTACTGTTAATTAGTAAAGACACTGGGTTATGACTAGACATTCGCCAGTAGTTTATCACGAGAAGACACTGCAACGAGATTAAACTGTCCTTCATATCGTAGTCTATACGACCTCGCTCATTTGACCACCTGACGTCCAACAAAAGCGGGCAGTGATCTCGACCAAGTATCTAGTTTTGGAGGGGACGGGGTACTATCAACGAGCTTCAGGGAGGTGGAACGGTCATTAGTCAAGGACTTTCTCACGGTCTTTTTGTAAGGGATATACCTAACGAAATCATTGTAAACTCCAATCACCCAAGATACAACAATATGATAACTGTGGTATTTACACGGCAATAGACTGCATGCAGTTCAGTACAAAGGAGAGAAAAGTTGTTCGTAGAAACTTGTCGTTGGCTTACCGACAGACCAGGACAATCAGTCAAGAATCTTTCCGATACAGACAGCAGAGCCTCCTGCGGCCATTCGTGGAACCAGTCAATACAGGTTCGGTTGACCAAAGCTGGGAAGCGTCGAGCTCGTACACGAAGTTTGTCCCCAACGGGGGAGAAACACAGGATGACCTATAATAGAAATGAACGTGAGCAGGACTCCAATGCGAGTGCCGCTGGGCAGAATTTTAAACAAGGAAGGAAATCAGACGGGAGACAGATACCTAAGCCTGTCACACAGTGTGATCAGTGCGCGAATGGATCAGCTTTTGGTGACGTACAAGTCGTAACAAGTATAGAGCAGCAAATACAAGATAGGACCCCCACATAGTGAGTTAACGAGATGAAATGTCACGGTCTCTCCATGCAACTAGAAAACTGCATGTCAACAACACAATGTAGTTTGAGGGAAGGAGTTTCAGCGGATACTTACGAGAGATTTATTTTTGGGTAACTACACAAAACTTGTGTGCCATTCGAAGGGCAATAGAACGAAGTATAATAAGGTCAGAAGAAATGCAACGCGACGCAAATGTCAAGTTATGTTCGAACAATGGAGCTGACCCACAAGTGTACGCAACGATACCTGTAAGGTCCGGCAGCATCGTGATGGAATAACCCTTGTTAGCGGTGAAATTACCATGCAATCGGCAAGCCGGATATCAGGATCGTACGCCATCTGCTGAGACTCCGGTTACCGACTATTTGTCCACCCCATGTGGTTACCTATGCGTCGTTCCATAATTTCACTGCAGTTCGCATCATGAGTATCGAGATTTTAATATGAATAACCCTATGTGACACCTACGTCTGCTAAATGTTTGTCATTTAGTTTTTCTAGTCATACCTACATGGTTTCATTCTAACCCGTTGTTAGAAATGATCGCTCCCCCACTGTGTAACTTGTCCAGGTGTCCCGACACATGAGGACTTGATCCATTCCCCAACCACAAGGGGACATGCTTTTTTGTTATTTCTTTCAGCTCACACTTGCCCCAAGACGCAGTACTCCCACCATCCTCTATGCGATGCACAGCGAACCAATCGGGTAGGGTTCAATTCAAATCAAGGGTTACCGGACTCATTAAAAGAGCCGTTGGATTTCGCTCCCGGACTCTGTCTTGTTTGAAATTATTGTCCAGTGACAATTACGGTGATTGACACTTGTTCCGTATCTTGTGAAGACACGGTTGTTTCAGAACGGAACGCGTATTGTTGAGATATGTCCATATTGCACGTTAATTTCCATCTAAACAGTATCGTAGTTAACTTCGAGGTTTTGTTTTAATTTGGGCCCGGGAGTTTCTACGAGTTACCCGAACCCCAAGCGATTTTGTCGCTTACAACCCTAGTTCACTGGATTCGATCGGACGAGTAGCCTCCATGGAGCACAAGGAAGTCGTGTTATCCAACTTGAACTAAGCAGACCTAGTGCGGAAGAAACCTAACGTAGGCATACATGTGTCAACCACTGTGAGTAAGCAGATGGCCGATGGGCACCCATACGGGGTTATCTAATATGTTCCAACTTACACGAAAAGCATGTAGATTAGAAAACGTAACAAAAACCATTCCTCAAAGTATTAAAGAGGCGCTCTTTGGAGCCCACTGTGTGCGAAAGAGATAAAGTGGGAGAACGTTTAGACATGAAATACCATCGCATCAATGGTTCAGTCTTAGCGAATACAATGTTAGCTGAAAGACATGCTTCAAGATCCGTCAGCAACCTTCACGCCTTTTAAACTGACGAGCCTCTTGGGAGTAGAGCATGAGCTCGCAGGTAGGATTGAACGAGTTCGAGAACGACAAAATGCCTCACAATACCGGCCCTCAGCTCTACCTTGTTCATGCGTCTAATCACTGATGACGTACAGGAGGTTAAACAGAAAAATGAAAAATGCGCAGAGTTAACAAGTCGCCAACCATAGAGACAGGAGTTCCGTGTCAATCATTACTACCGGATAAACATTCCTCCGATACGTAGCTTGTGGGACGTGGTCCCGCTCCCGTGGAAGAAACCATTTGACACCATTGCAAGCTACAGTGACGAATGAAATTGAGTGTGCTTTGGCTTTGGGCACAGCCTAGATGCATTGCGCGAACCCGCATGTACAACTAGGTGCATTCGTCTGTAATATCGCTGATACTTAAGTAAACTGACAGCTTTAAATGAGGTTGACCCGCCAATTGAATGTACATACTCCGGGAGAATTTGAGTCACAAAAGCAAATTCTGGTATACACCGGAGTGCACTTGACAAATAAACAGCCTGAACAACCAGCTAACCAAAAGCATGCAACTGCGATTCAGGATTGCGTGAATTGGCATAGTAACGAATCAGTGAGTAGGAATCATGAGGAGCGGTGTCGACAAATGAGGACCACTCTGAGGCAATTTCTGCAGGCAATAGTGCCTGATGAATGATAGAAGACCGGCTTGTTCAGCGTAAGGGTTCGATCCCAGTGCGGTGTAAGAACTTGTGACTTTAGTCGATATTCCCGAAGTCACTCGCGAAATAGTGTGGAACACTTTTAAAGTGAGTACCATTTCGATTCCGACAAAGGGTCTCAACGGAAGTGCACAAACTAGCAGTGGTTGTTTTGGTATCTGGGGATAAATATGTCGAAAAATGGTCTACACTCATCAGCTCTCTAAAATTCGTCTTCAAGAAAAGGTTTTAATTCCTGGGGCGAACCAATTGCTATCACTGCCTTTAAAAAAGATGCTCGCACTTCATGCACCAATCACCGAGGTATCAGCCTTATTTCCTTTACCATCAAGCTATTGGCATCCAGACTACCTCGTTCCCTTAATCGCAGCAGCGGGATGAACAAGTTGACTTCCGTGCTGGCCGTGGGTGTGTGAATCAAATCTTCACGCTTCACCAAATCCTCGAACACCGTCCCCACTAACAGAGTCTTACCATCACTGCATTCTTAGACATCCGTACTGCATTCGAGTTGGTTGATCGACGTGCGTTTCGTCATTCAATGTTAAGGAAGAGGGTCCCGATAAAGGTATATTGCTATCCTGCGCGCACTCCACCTTCACGTCTCCGGCAGAGTGAGGGTCTAAGACAAGCTTTCTTCGTACTTCGCTGTCAATAGCGGTGTACGAGATGGCTGACCTATGACCATTGACTCTTCAAGTTCGCGACTAAAGTGACCCTCTTGGGAGTTCTGGGTTACCAAAATTTTAGCTTGCAGCTACTACCGGAGGAATGGGTTTCATGCGTGATCAGTTACATCAATTTCCCGATGGTGCGAGGTTACTGATAGTATGATAGCACGGTGGCACATGTAACAACCATGAGCTTGCTCATGCTAGTGTACAAGGTAAGGTTGATAATTATACGACATATAGTATCACATGAACACTGTGTCACAATGTCTCGTGTTATGTATGCCTTACCAAGCAAATTCGCGTACACTCGGCCGACTGGATGGACGACATCGCAGACAGCAGTTTGATTGCTCCTGGTGCATACAGGCAATCCGAACAGTGCGAATAGTTCCTAATGTACTCGCTACTTTCGGGCAATTAAGAGCCCATTCGTTAGTAAGGTCAATCTGAGATGAGTCCACCTAGAGACAATGTAACACAGACGAGCAACGAAACAGGAGCCAGCACACAACCGGTGAGGACTGGTGGTGGGACACGCTTGCTCATGAATTTCGGGCAGAAACATCCAAGCTACACTGAGCGTTAAGTTGAGGAATTGCTAGCTTTCGTGTTATTCAGTTCTACACTCCTCCTTGCGTCTAACTGGCACTAGCAAGCTTTACACTTGAAGACCTCCTTTACATTTAGCTGCTATGGATCTAATCCCCCAGTGTTCGCAAACCAGCTCATAGCGTCGTCGGGATTTGGTGACATGGTAGGCCCAGATTCTCTACTGAATGGGTGCCGGACTAGATTACATTTCAGTTTCGCTGTTGTTCAGCTGATCTGTAACGTCTCTTTGGACATACCAAGGAGCTACAAGTTTGAAGGGTGGAAACAGGTACTGTATTCAACATCTTGAGATATGATTGGGATTGACCGTGAAGATTCGATTTCAGAAAAGTTTGGGAACAATAAACACCAACCGACTGTTCGCGAACTATTCTGAAATCTTGTACTGTACTTACTCTCAACATTTTCCGAGTCTTATCAATGAAGAATTGCCAGCAATTTTCGACTGTGTCCATCAAACCAATGCTCTTCACCTCTGGCCGAATACTCGTTATAATCTGATCCAATTCTTCTTCGGCAAACAGATTCGGTATTTCTCCTGATGCGAGAAAATCGTTGACATAGACGAGAAATCGTTCGTCCGCAACCTACAGGAAAATCAGTCCAAGACAAAGGGCGTCAGTGTCACAGATGGTGTGTATGACAAACATGTGATGCGAAAAAGCTGGCACAAGTACTGGTGTCTCGCGTGAGGTAAATCATACGCAAAACTCTGTGCCGTCAGGTGTATCGGATGTGAACACCTTCGTTCTGTATACTTACATGCATGGCGAACAACAAGAACCCATCTTGCCAGCTATGTCCTTAAGGAAAAATCATTGGACACGTCATCACCACTGGGGGCTGCTGGATCAGTTCCGAGTAGGAAACGAGCAGCAATCCCATGATCGCAGTGCATCAACAATAATGTCTCATTGGCACCTCATGTGGGGGGTGCTGAGTCAGTGGATTCAAACGTGAGCATTTGGGGCTCCGTTAACTATGGTTTACAGGATCCATCGAGACCCTAGATCCAAGCGCACCTCGTGTGCGAAAACACCGCTACTCGAACTGTCAGTGGAATCAGACGATGCGCTTATTTCGTCAACTTGCCTTGTTTTTTTTAATGTGCATCGTTCGCATGGTCATCTTGGCAAGTGTCATAAAGCGGACGCTTGTGAGGTGGGCTCGGAGCCGGGATGGATGCGCTCCTTCGCTACAATCGGGTTAGTCCGGTCTACCATAACATAAGTAAATATTGGTTAACTGTGTTAGTTTTCCGTTATTGACTTATTACCTATGTGTTCCGTTGGCAATCTCATTTTGTTTTTAGCTTCATCATTTTCTCGTGTTATTGATCCAGTGTTCAGGTGTCTCCCTTGTTGGTCAATGGGATATCTATACCATCTCTATGTCAAGTTGATCCATACTGTAAACGACTGTAGCTGCACACTAATAAAATTCCTCCGTCATTCAAGCACTATAGAGTTGGTGACGCAATGATCCTGTCTTGGATGTAACATGACGCTTGTGTAACCAAACGTCAGGCGGTTGGGCATAGTGGGGGCTAGTCGCGACTCCTGGCAGGATATCAACTTGCATTCCACTTGGTCACACACTCAGATCAATTAATTCCGACATCTGTTCGATGAGCGACTTACAGAAGACAAGGAATGGACAATCAGCCGGAAAGGTATAAGAGATGTAAAGAGACTGACTTACTTGAGCGTCAGTCATCAGGAACACGTAGGGCATGTTTTTCAACGAGGCCTTCAAATACAACTGAGCCAGATGAGCACGTAAATCTTGCTGCGAGTACCCTTTGCGCAACACAATTTGTGATACTTCGAAACCAGACATGAAAGCAGCCAACCGAGACAGAGACTGCTTGCCGGAACCTCCAATACCGATTAGCAGGGCGCTTCCGCGAGGCATTTCCAAAATGCGACATATTCGAAGCACGTGAGCCACTGCATCACTGAACAGAACCAGGTCCATCATGGCATATGTGTCGTTGTAAGCGTTCAGTGCGTCGATCACAACTTTGTTAATTTGATCAACAGAAGGGACAGCGCAGTACTGTCGCTCGGCACTCAGGCCCTTGTTAAAACTGCAATACATCAGAGGCTCCGCAGTTATGTCGGCGGAGTGCAGCTCTGGGAACTGAACGGATATGGCTGCGGTCACATGCTTCAAGGCCGCTTCCACGTCGGCCACATCGATCATTTTATCCGTGTAGACACGAATAGCCTCATGACGGTATAAGCGAACCATGGAGAGAACGCTGTTGCACACTTCTGGCTGACTGAATAATAAACACTGGGCGAAGTGGAGGGGTGAGAAAAGAAAAATGAAACCGTCAGTCTACTGTAACCGTAAAGAAGAGAAAACCGGCAAAGAATTCCGTCATGTGCGCGAGCAAAGTGGCAGCAAGGGCTTTCACGGGCTCCGAAAGCGCCCTTGAGAATATGGGGCTGTGGGCATTAATGCTGAATATATGCTTGGCACTACCAAATAGTCAAGTAGAATATTCTAAACTCAGGCACGAAGTTGTTAAAAATATGGGAAAGTTAAAGGGGGATAGAAAAACAACCGAAAAATCCAAAGCGAATACAGTGCTGTGGGACTAAATGGATTGGGTGTACAGTTCCGCCACAGGTGTATACTTGACCACGAACAAAGTTCTTTCGAGAGGGCTCCGTTGCATTGCGTACTGTGCAGTGATATTGTAACAATGAAGCCAGACCGGGACAGTGTGTTACTTTGGGGAACACCAGTGCCGTTTTTAGGTCAACTGAAGTTATCAAATGTGAGAGGAATCAATGGCCTCGCACCCTTGTAGTGTAGCATTTAATAAGTGGGTTCGTTCATGTTTGGGTTCTTGAGGAGAGGATAACCAGAGCTGAGATGCGAATCCAGTACCTCCTGGCTGCAAACGCGGGTCCACCGCGTTCCGCTGACGACGTTCGCGTCATTGGTTAGAATCCATCTTTTGCAGTTTGCTAGACGTTTAGATGGTTAGAATTTAAACTCAACTAAGAGTATGAATTGGATTGAGACTAATCGCAGTCAGCTTAATCTACAGAACGTCAACTCTCGGCGACTATCAAACTAAAAATCCCAAAAGTGCGTTAAGAGTTAGCCCACTCCAGGGGCGTTTAGCCGTAGGTGTAAAAGTAAACCGTGCGAAACGTTATCAACTCAGGAGAAGAGGAAAAAGTCACAGATGGTTTGAACAGTTGTGTTTCCACGGACAATCATCTTACCTGGAAAATGTTGGTCAGGTCTCGCAGATTGAACACGTAGTGGAACTTGACGGCGGTGGGCAGAAAGACGCTGGTGATTTTCATGTGAGCAGCCAAACACGCGTCGACCAATGTGTCCACCGAGCGGACGACAACCATAGGGAAGTTATTGCGGACAAAGTGTTGTTTAAGTACGGTGGCGTAAATCGTCTTCACGGCGGCCTCATCGGGGAAACTGAGCGCGAATACGGAGAAGTGCCGTTGCAGCCTCGGAGTGATGGTGAAACTGCCAGCCGTGGGGTTCATAGCGGCGACGTACTGTGTCTTTTGCACGCGCTTCAAGGTCAGCTTCTGACGATCGTAAAAGTGTCCGTAGTCAATGTGCTGACGGATGAGTGTGTGCGGCTGAACAGTGAAGTATTGGTCGACCTGCAGTGGATAGAAAAGTTTGACAGGTTGGAATATAAAAAGCTAGAAAAATGTTGACGAAACATTGGGCGTGTTTCCCAGGGTGGCTAACACTATCTCTCATTTCATAGTCGTGGCAATCACCTATGGATGTGCTAACAACGCTGACATGACAAACCTCTCGCCTTATCCATTTTAGATGTGTACATTCCACGGCAACTGCAATAGTTTATTCCTTACCCTGTCTTCCCGAAAGTACACCAATCAGGCAAGTTATCAAGTCTGTGAGTTTCGTGGCAATGTTTTGGCTGACGGTTGTCGGGGCGCAGTAAACCATCTGCGTCTCTAAGCGGGATTGAATGGTGATGTGCTTCATCGATACATTGTGCACTGACCTCCGATGTATTTATTGACGGTCAGGGCTGTGGGACACCTGTTACTTGATTCTCACGTTGTCGGTTCGCAACACTACCCACACATTCCACTTGCGACGTGAGCGAAGCCAAAATTGATGCAATCGGTCTGGTGAGCGAATCACACACTAAGCATCCCAGCTAACGCGGTCAGTTTTGCGATCAACGTTGAAGCTGGCTCGGAATACACGCGACCTTCGGGGAATTATTTTCGGTCCGATACAAAGCAGCTATACTCCATACAAAGGAGGACATTGCATAACTGAACCACAGCCATTTACCACAAAGCATCCTCTACCTCACCTAATTCGGGGCACATCGCAGTTGCGAGGAATTGGGCCTGTTGACAGCCTAAATCAAAGTTGGTTTATTTTTACTAAGGTCGATAGCAGACTCGCCTTGCGGATCACACAATCAACTGTCGGCGCATCCTCCTTTAGGCTACGGTTGTAAGGCTGATAAGGGAATGCTTTTTTATAGCCTTTGGTGTGTAAACGTAGTTAACTACTCTCTAGACTGTAATCCGTAATTTATTGCACTAATTTCCTCTTAGTTACTGAGACTCTTAAATGTGTTCATTTGAATAGACTGTTTCTCAGATTTCATAACCAAGGTCTGTATTTGACCGTAATGTTCGAATTTCGGCCATTGCAACGTACCGTACATGCTTGCTAAGTAATGTAAGTAAGTAATGTAAGTAAGTAATGTAAGTAAGTAAGCAATGCAGGTAAGTAAGTAATGTGTAATCCTACGAACGCAGAAGTTTAGCGCAGATAGCCCCTCGTCCATTAGAGGCAGCCGCTGCATTTAATGAAAAGAATCACTGTATCGCTCCAATACACAGAAATGTGTTTTAGTTATGCACATAGTGAAGTTTGTCTCAGATGAAATGTTCATCAAATGACACAAAATTAATTCTTAAAACCAAATAAGAGGCGCTATAAGCTTATGTGAATGACATTTTAATTCTAAGCTTCACGCAGTAGATCCCCTCAATGTTGTCTACTCGACAACCTACATCTTCGACGCGAGCGCTTTAGCGCTCAGCTGTTGGCTATCAACGTTACCCATGACGTCATGAAACATTTGATAGAGGATCACACAATCTCAAAGCCCATCTTAACAGACCAGGGTCCGTGCTTCGAGAGTGAGAAATTCCGGAACTGCTTGGAACTTGGTATCAAGAAATTGCGGACAAGCCCAGGGTAACCCGCAGACAAATGACTTGACGGAGAGTAACAATAGAACGATTAAAAAGTGGCCAGCAATAAATGGTGCAGACTGGGAGTAAGCTTTGTCACTGTTCTTGCTAAGCCATCAAGCATCCAAACAGGCCTCCAGCAAGAAATCACTACTTCAATTGATGTACAGTCGAGCACCTCGCCTAGCTGTGGACCTAGAGGTTGGAATGTGGCCAAGTTGTCGAATATCTCCTAAAGAGGCACAGGATAACAGGCAGGCAGACAACCGTAACCTGAAAGCAAGTGAGGCGCAGAGGACGGAGAAGTCCTAGACCAACAATGGTGTGAATACTGAATACTGCATCATAGACCAAGTAGAAATGAATTCTGTACAACACTTTCGAAATATACTGAAAAATGTTATAAATATTGTCGGCCGTGAATATCGTTATCGTTCTCATGTAACACTTAAAATATCTGACGGTATTGCATGACTCACAAATATGAGATGGCATCGAAAGTGTGCAATCGTTCTCTGAATCGAATAGTAATAAAATATAACTCTAACAACGTTTTGAACTGCTGCACAGATGTTGCCTCCATCACATGTTCAGGAAACTGTTCCAAATATTTACCACTCTCTGTTCGAAGTACAGTGGGTAGAGAACTCGCTTCACATCCGGCACGACAAGTTTGTATCTGTGTCCGCGTGTGCTGCATGGCCCTCGTAAGTGCAGCATTGGCCTTAGCATTTGGAAGTCACCGAGATGTAGAATACAGTAGGTCGTAATGAGGTCGACTCGCACCCGGCGGTAGGACAAGGTGTAGAGTCCTAGTTTCTCGCACCGGTCTTCATACCCAAAGCCACGTAAACTCGGGATGAGCCTGGTAGCAACGTGTTGGACCCGTTCGAGCTTTTGTGCCTCGCGTCGGGTAATCGAAAAGTAGGCGGGCGAACCGTACTCTAGCATTGGTCTAATGATGGAAGAGAAGAGGCGAGTGGCAACCTCTTCAGACCATGTGCCGAAGCTACGTTTGAGCGCCCAAAGCATGCGCAGTCCGTTACGATATAGCCTGTTTGTGTTGTCCACTGACTTCAAATCATAGCGCGAGAGTACACCTAAGTACTTCACGGAGGGTGTGGGATATAGCGCTTGGCTGTCAAGGTTCTATGTTCGGTCGTCAGCACTCTTCCCCAGGTTCATAAATACAGACTTGGCTGGGTTGATCGGGAGATGAATTTCTGTAAACCATGTGGATAAGTCGTTGAGGTCTTGCTGAAGTACGCCACAGTTGTCGGGAGGGACAGTATTCCCCAAATCTTCATGTCGTCCGCAAACAAGCTACACGGTGACCGGGGAAGCTGCGGTAGATCGTTGATGTGGATCAGGAACAGAGTGGGCCCCAGCACAGTGCCTTGAGGCACGCCACTTGTAGAGGGATACCAGTCATTTAGATGGTCGTCGACCTGTACCCTCCACTTTCGTCCAACAAGAAAGTCGCGGATCCACCGGTGTAGTGAGCCACCGACACCGCACATCCTGAGTGTGTGAAGGAGAACCTCATGGATGACGTTGCCGAATGCTGTACTGAAATCGATGAATCTCACCTCGACAGACTTTCCCTTGCTTATTGCCTTCAACCACTCATGTCTCATCCCAAGGAAGCTTGTAATGCATGAGCAGCCTTGCATAAAACCGTGCTGTACGAGCGTCAGGACCTCCCTTGATTGTAGCAACTGCAATAATCCATTTTTTACGATTTTCTCAGCAACCTTTGCCAAAATAGGTGTCAGACGAATTGGTCTGTAGTTGTCTACTTTGCTAGGGTCGCCGCTTTTCGGAATAGGCTTCACCACCGAACATTTCCAGTCAATCGGCGATCAACCTTCGGACAGCGACCTGTTGAAAAGGCCAGTCACGACAGGAGAGATGATGACCGAGAGTGACTTGAGGATCAGTGGGTGAAGCCCATTAGGTCCGGTAGGACTGGTGCCGCCTCAATCCAGACTGTCGAGTTCGGTAAAAGCGGCACACGTCGAATTCGGAACAGACACCTGGTCATTTGTAAATACAGAAGCGAAGTGCGCCGTCAACGCGGATACACGCTCAGTGCTGGGGATTAGGGGTTGTTCGTGTGGGCCATCTAGCACTTGCACATCATCTGCCGGCTTCAGGCGTCGCTCCACGTAAGCAAAGATTCTCTTTGGGGCGGTCTTCAAGGCGACTGCGAGCTGCACTTCGAAATGTCGGCACTTATTCCTTTTTCCCTGTTGCAGAGGTTCCGCTGACTTTATACCTTTCGAAATAGTTATGGGGACCCAACGTCCCTATAATGATTATAAGCTAAAATCACTGAAGGCAATGAGACTCGATACAGACAAGTGCACATGTGTCGATCAGCCTTCCAGCTCGTGAGACATTCACGTTTCAATTGGCCTTTTACCTCAGAAAACATTCCTGTTTCCGGCCAACGCTTATTCAATCATAGACATTCAGCCTTTGTTTACCTAAGAAACAGTCAGTTATCCAGTCCAGCCTCCGCATCTACCAACACTCACTTTTCAACCTGTTACGTTGGCATATTGCATAGTACCAAATCAGTTGCTTCCAGGATTTGCTTACACAAATCATTGGCGCCATCATGGTATAAAAGAATCATTGGGCTGTGCAGTAATCGCCTTGAGCATGGCCGGTAAAAGTGCCGAACTTTGCTTCAACCTCACAATGTCCAGGTATCAAATGTACATTAGGCCATCCTATTCGAGGACAGTTAAAATCGCCCATAAGTAGAAAGTGTGGACGACTCATGTGGGTCCGAAAAATGGGCAGCCAATCCAAACAACGACTCAGGGGCTGCGATAGACTGCGCCCACCAGTAGTTCTCCGAGCCTGAGGTGGATGGAGCACCACAGTAGTCACTTCGGTAGGTGCTCACAGGTCTACCACGCAGGGAAGACCGGATGTAGAGCAAGACACCACCGCGGGCAATCCTTAGTCTACCGCAGCGGAAGCACGAATAACAGCTGAGTTCAAGTTCCTGGGTGTATAACTCTGAATACAGCCATGTCTATGTGAGTCCCACTACGTCTGGCCGCTCAGACACAAGGAAACAGCAACGCTCATCGCACTTGTTCAGAACACTGCAAACGTTTGTGAAGGTTACTCGCAAGCCCCCGGGCGTGCATGAAGTGTGAGCAACCTGTTTATCCAGAATCGCAGATGCTTGGAAACCATCCGAAAATTTAAGATACGGAGATTTGTTTCCCACTCACCAGTACGCCTTTTCAGCTCAATGATGGCAGACTTGAGCCCTTCCCCATCTACTGGCTCCAGGTCTGGGCGAACATGGATCTTCAAACCTTTCAGCCTACTTAAGCAGCACAAGATCAGTCTTGGACCGACTTCGTCCGCAAAAGTGATTCTCATAGGCCGATTTTGTTGATCATCATGCTTTCCAAGACGGGTAATTGGCCTCAATTTTATCGAGTCCTCACCAGCGCCGTGGAAACTGTCAAGTAGACTCTGTAAAACTCGACATCGTGATTGTAGCGCACTTGGGTGATGGATCACTGGACTCCGGTGCAAAGAAGATCACGAGGTTATAACGCCTTTGGTTGAACGAGGTTGAGCTTGCAGGGCGAAGTATATTACCAGCCTCACGTGAGTTGGCTAACTGTTGACTTACAGAAGTTAAATGCCCGACATCCCTTCGTAATTTCGTTCTTTCCACTGGTCTTCAGCACTCAGGCTTTCACCTGCTGGGACACCAGTGCTCGTTGGACACAACAAAGGTAAACAAGTTATGCCAGGTAAAACTGAGCTTCTCACAACGGTTGGACTTTGTGCCGGTGAGTTTGCACGGGTAGAGGAGGAAGACTGAGCTGAAACCTGAAGGCTCTTCGGGCTAGATTGTTGGGCCAAACACACGGAGCTGTTTGCAACGGAATGATGAAGACCACACGTCGGCTTTACTCTTCCTGGTTGTATCTTGATTCGGCAATTTTCACATAAAGTTTGAACGAAATCGTGTTGGATTTCACAAAGACGATAAAAATGCTCAACTGATAGTCCAACACATAAAATGTGGTAGTTAACTTGTCACGAAAGACACTTGAGGGCGTTTGCACGGTATCTAACTATCACTGAACAAGTACCACATGGTGATGGCGTCGGCATTGTGAATAATCCGAAAACAAGATGGCAACCAATTGCTGGAGAAAATGGTGATAGCACGATCGCCGAAACCAAGCGGTGAAAACACAAGTGTTTCTGGTCAAAAAATCCAGAAGCGGAAACGAAACTGAATGGTATCTAAATTTCCACGAAATACTTCCAATGGATGAAGAAATCCAAGACAAAGTAATCTTGTCAACACAGCCAAAAATAACCGACCGGAGGCCGCTAACCGCAGTATGAAGTATGAGTGTCGAGTTTCCGATTGGTTCGAAGATGAAATCTAGGGACCATCAATCAATACGTTCATTTGTGGTTCAGGGGGGCGGAAACTCCTACCGAAGTGGAACGGGCCATAGGAGATGTTTAACCGGGGAGGCCCAGCGTATACAATCGCTCGGCAAGGAGATTCGCGGCGATTGTATGTCAGTGAGTTGAAGAAGTGGCACGAGTAGAAGGAGCAACCTCTTTCGCAGGGTAAACATTCCCGACGGTCAGAAAGACTCCAACTGAAAGTAGCTGGGCCGAGTGCTTTGGAGGGGGAGAAGTGTGGTGGACTAAAGTCAGACATTACTGCACCAGTTATCAGTAGCGTGGAAATGTCAGGATGCGAAACGGCAGCCAGCCAACAGCCAGTCAACAAAGGAGAGAATCACTTTAGAACCGCAGTTGCGTTTGCGCGAAGAATGGACGCACAAGTAATGCACACCACACAACCCCTAGACACAGAAGGAAACCCGCACCATGCAACCTCTAACATGGATAGCGATGATTGGGTGCATTGTTTGTCGGAACGGATGCATGTAGTATTGGCTATGTTTGACACAATGAATGATCCCGCTTACACCTCGGGCTCCTGCAGTATGGTGGGCCACTGCTCTTCATTTACCCGCCGAATGCCGGTCGTAGGCAGTCGCACTACTGCCATACTAAACGCAGGAATGCTGCTGCTGTGCATGCTGAAGGAGTGAGCCCGCTTCGTTGATGAAACGTGGCTCCCGTCCACATGTCCCTCGGTCTTATTCCTTCGGGTTTACGCTGGATATGGGGTGTGTGTGAATGGGGCTGTGGGTGGTGCAGGGCAAATCACCCATGGTCGTTCTGTAGACACAAGAACCCCTGTGGCTGACCTATGGAGGCCGAAGTGACAGGCAGATCCGGAACCGGATGCAACCAACCACGTAGACTAAACGCAGCAGCAGGAGTGTGGTGCGGACGGTCGCAGGAGAAAGCAGCACAAGCGACCTTTGTGATAATGCGTACCTCATGACTGTGCTGGATTACCTTACGAAGAGTAGACTCGTAGATTAAGAAACATGGCAAAAGACAAGTTGGTCAGCTGCACTCCAGGGTTGTTGGACCTAGAAATACTCTTTACTAGGAAAATGTGGTTGTGAAAGATGAGTATACAGTGGTAAGGGAGCTGTTGATTCTCAGAACAATTAGTCCTAAGGCATGGCATCTGAAAGAACAGTGCAACCCATGGTTGAAATTGGTCGCGGACAGCTATTACGTGAGCGGACTTTGAACACGCCAAGCCTTACCTCGGGCATGTTTAGGTCGTCTATGAAGTAGATTAGCCGCTTTTGCCCCGGTGGTCCGTAATTAATGCCGGCTTTCTTTTCCAAGCTCTTGTCCAGCACCTCCTGAAGCATGAGGCTGGTGGTGTAGAAGTTGAACGGAATATTTTTGACGATGAACTCATCGGACAAAGAGGTGAATTTGTCCTGCATGATGACCGACTTTCCAGTGCCGGCAGAACCGACCAACATCACCGGACGACCGGCTTCAATAAGTAGGTCCAAGAAGAAACGTAAACGGGCGACTTCAACGGTTGGAACCAGCGATGCCTGCAATGTACACAATGGAAAAGTGTAAGGTAAACTGCTGCAAACAAGAAAAAAGCGCAGGGTAGTATGCAGACCAAATAGTAACTGTTCATGGAGAAGTAAACGGCGACAAACCGCAAAGCTGTATAAGCTCCGAAGATTGAACGGGTACAGGAATGCTTGTAAAACCATCGTGGATCAAGATCGGCAGAATACTGAAGATTGATGCGTTATACTATTCAGTGGTAACCACGAACCCCGCCTGGTGCAAACAGATTCAGTCGTATAGCTCGGTCAAAGTAACGGGGGTTATAGAAAAACAATGATTAGCACCACATTAATTGGGGCCCAGTACGGCTGTCATAGCCAACATGCTCAAGCGTAAACGAACCGCCCAAAGTCAGAAAAAATATATCGAACTAGGGATACAACGGAAGCAGTGATGTGTATTTGTTACATAATTGCTTCGTCCACTCGTAGGTAACGGGCTTGTTCAGGCTGTTCGATAGTATAACTTAAAGACTACTCTAGCGATCAATGCGGCTCAAATGTGATTGTTATGGTTACGATACTCCGATGTCGGTAGGCACATATCGCAACTGCTACTGAAGGCAGTATCCGTGTTATCAAGACGTAACGCGTCATCTCAGTGGGAAATCGTGTGCTAATTCGCGCTCCTTCATGATCTGACGGCGTAAGTCGCCGATCTCTAGTTGCGCAGCCTGAACGAATGCGTTGCCGATGGATTGCAAATGGAACGGAGCGGCCTTACAGTGTTTTCCCAAACGAATGGTTGCCTAGCTTAACTGCAGCGAAATTGTTCGTGAAGTGGGAACTTCGGTATTGATCTTCCTCATTGCTGGACGGCAATTGGGCTGACAACCTCGTTACTGTATTAAGCACGCAAGGTAAGTTAGAAAACAAGGAATAAACACCGAGATAGTGGCTAACATGATGGGACGGATGTGGAAAACCACGAAAAGAATTACGCATCAGAAAAACGACTGAGAAGAGAAGCTAAAATATGTGCTCCACAATGTGTTAATGTTAGGCACCTGCAAGAAGAGCAGCAACTTTGACTACATATAGGCAAACTCTTCAATTGCTCTGCAGAAGTGCTTAACATTAAAACATGTTTCGGAAGTGTAGTAAGGAGCACTTTGAAGCGTAAAACGTTCGTTCACACCTATATTTTGAGATGATTTCCGATTCTGGAGGTAAACTCAGCAGCTTTACATGAAAGCCATCATGGTGTCATGGCCCAGAAGTGTGCATTTCCCCTTACCACTTCTCCGCCAATGAGTCTGGGTTAGGTGGAACACCCGCCAGCACTTCTTCAGGGGGTCGAGTAACTAGACCGATGAGTAATTGAATCCCTAGCCAAGTGTACGAGTAGATTGTCATAACTCAAAAGCTGTACGGTGCCAATGCGGAATGAAAGTATGATTTGCTGCGGTGGTGAGCTGGACAAGTGGGAAGCCATAAGTTCAGACCAGAAAAGCCAATGACATCTGACCCATCATCATTATTAGGAGAACAGCTATTAGATATTCATTTATTGTGAAAGAGCTTGATAGCTATTCTTTACTCTTCCTATTTTTCAGCGGCGACACAACAAATTTTCTGGTGACGGGGGTTTCAGTAATCATGTCCATTTCGTTCGAGCAGATGCAGACGCTTCTTCAACAGCAACAACTCCAGTTTGAAAAATCTCAGCGACAGTTGATCGAGTTGTTATCTCAGAAGCTGAACATCCAAAGCGAATCCCCGACGACAATCGCACGGCCATCGGTGGACGCCCTTGCGGCTTCAACCACAGAATTTGTTTTCGATGGATTGAACAGATTGACATTTGAATCCTGGTTCTTAAAGTATGAAGATATTTTTTGAGTGGAACTTGCAGACCAAGACGATGCCTAGAAAGTTCGTTTGTTGTTGAAGAAACTTGCCGCAGTCGAGCATGAAGGTTACACAAATTTCCTGTTGCCGAAGAATGCAAGAGACTTCAGCTTCGATGAGACGGTGAAAATGCTGACGCAGATATTCGGTGAGCAGGCCTCTCTGTTCAGTGTTCGCTACAATTGTTTGAAGTTAGTCAAACGTGATGCCATTGAGTTTGTCACACATGCCGGGATCGTAACTCGCGAATGTGAACTATTAAAACTGGGTATGATGACACCTGATCAATTTAAGTCTTATTTTCGTGTGCAGTCTCCAGTCCCATGCTGGTGCCGAGATGCGAACACGAATTCTCCACAAGCTCGAACAAGAACCACAATTGACGGCGGCGACACAACAATCATCAGCAATACACGTTAGCCGAGATTGAAATATACATCGCAACTAATGTGGCGTAATATATAAACGATGTGAGATTAAACACTACTGATTACAAAAACTAAGAAAGTGATGTAAGGCTAGATATCATATTATGCATTGGGTCTGAAACGGTCGTTGGAGGGGAAGCTAAAGGGGACGAGGAGGGACAAAGAAACTCACAACCCAAATGCCATTGAGATCGATTCTTCATGTCCACAAGTGTATCCAACCGGACGTGTTCATTGTCCTTCGGTTTGCAGCACGGCAGTCGACCACCGAAGCCAACTTCGAAGTGAAGGCCTTCGTTACTCTTATCCAAGTCATGGCATGGCCACCCCTCATTTTCTTCTATCCATATCCTGGTCGCGCAAACAAAGCACGACGCGGGAATTGGTGCGGTGGCATTCGCAACACGTGGCCCAGCCATCGGAGTCTGGTACGTGATATAATGGTTCTGAGCGGTTCACTGGCTCTTCCTACACCAAATATGAGACTTCTAACAGGTTCATTGCTCACACGGTGTTCCCATCAGGTAAGAGCTAAGCTGCGAAGGTAGCGATGGCCGAAGGTAACTAGCCTCTTCAATTCCGTCAAGTTGAGGAGCCAGGTTTCCCATCCGTACAGGAGGGTTGAACGGACAGCAGAAGTGAAAACCCTGCTCTTCAGGATGAGAGTGATGTCGTGCCGGCACCACAGGTGGCAAAGGTTGAAAAAAGCGCCTTTATCTTTCGCTATACGGCTGTCGACTTCTAGCTGATCACCCCCAATGTTTAGTGCAGAAGTGGGTCCCTGTCAGTCTTGAAGAAGGACTTAACATTTTGAGGGCGAAAAGCATAGTTCAAAACGACCAAGAGTCAGTGCTAATCTGTCCAGTGATGCTTGGCATGTTTGCGAGCTGTCAAAGATATGGGCAAATTATCGACTTACTCCAAGTAAATAACTCGATCACTGGGAAGCAGCTCTACCATGTAGATCGTGTCCAGTGAACGCTGATTCCATGATTTCGTCAATGGCAAAGTTAAAGAGGAAGGGTGACGGCGAGCAACCTTGTCTCACACCGGTGGACATTAAACGGCGGCGACAGCTTGCCATGAACCCTCACTCTGCCTGAACTATACGCCTACAGTGCTCTGATAATGTTGACATACTAATCGGGAATCTGACTAATTATATGTGCAGCAAGAATACCAGCGCAGAAGTTGATTGTGGACGCCTAAACATTGCTCACGAACAGCAAACTTCAGTGTTTGCCAAGTAAAATAGAATGATATAATGTTCCAACTCTCCGCAACATCACACCTAGGAACCTCCTTTGTATCTTAAGAAGATGGATTGACCTCGAGATTTCCCAATCGATTAGCCGTGTAAGGCACTTGTTTCTTCATTTGACCCATTGCTAAATTCAGTGCTTGACGGAGTACGGCACCGGTCAGACGTGCAATTTTGGGAAGTATGAACATCAGACATAACCCTGTTATTCGAATGTCATCCACAAATTCACAGTAGGTTCGCAGAAATTTAGCGGAATTGGTTCACTTGATTATCTATTTCTGCAGAAGGTTGGTAAACTAACTCGCGAGAGAACAAGGTAACCCCTCAGTAAACATATGTGTACGGGAATACGGTAACTCATTCTTCGTGTAACTGTACTGAAAAACCCATTAAACGCATATGTGACAGCATAACAGGTCCCATGTTATAAGTGTAATCAATTAGCTACCAGGTCACAGACGTCACAGTTCTGAAGATCTGACCGATGAGGATGAAGTAATTGCACCACGCGAAAAGACCCTACCAAATGGACCTACCTCCAGGGGAATTTCCGGATCGAGTTCGCACTTGCTCAATCGCGTGCTCCAACTTTCAAACTTACGAGTGTTTAAATTCCAAAAGAAGTCAAACACACCTCCGGTGGATGGGAATTTCACTTGCTTGAACTCGTTTAACCACCATTTCGAAAATTCGATCCGGTAGTCTGCCAGCTGATCTTTGAACAAGGATCCACCGAACGCCCAAACACTGCAAAAGACAAACAACATCTCATAGTTCTCTTTGGTGAAATCCCTGTTATCCTTCAAAGCTTTCTGGGCGTCCAGCATGCATTCCAACAGGTGGCATAACATTTCAACGTGAGCAATATCCGGAATCGGTGTGACGCGTTTCAGCTTTGTTTTCAAGATTTCCAGAGAGGGAGACACATATTTGTCGAAACAAATTGACAAAGCTGGGCGCTCCGTTCGTGAGAGTGTCTTCTTTTGACGTACACGTTCATCCAACCAGCTGTGAACATAGCTAAAAAATATGGAAATTCACGTTCACTAAGTAGTTACACCGATTTATGAACGAAAGCTTCCGCTTTGAACGGAAAGCGCGCTTAGCATCGCTCTTGACTGTGCCAAGGATGACAGGAATTGACGGATAGATCACGATGCATGGGGAGCTGATGCACACCTAATGCTTAGTAGAGGTTGCTGATGAGACATTCATCCCTTGGACAACTAGGTACAGTATCAAGACCCATGCTCAAAGACGCTGATTTACAGATATTCAGTGCAGTATAAACCAAAACTGTGCTTGAAAAGTGCTATCGTTTCGTGTTCCAGCAACATACTAGTGTTCTCGGAACATCCTACGAACCGATACTCATGGAAAAGTTAGAACGTCAAGAAGTCAACACGAACCCGTGGCTGTTGTGCACACTTCCAGATACTAGTGAATGTCCTGGGCGCTAGTAGTGCAGCCAAGTTCGGCATGATCCACTCTTTGATCTCTTTCAGCCTTCGATTTCATGGTATGTCATATATTGGTTCTCACCGGTACGACTTTCCTCTGTGGGTAGTCAAACATCCGACGGCGGCACAAACAAGCTAAGATCACTACTCATAGTACTAGTAAGCGTTTTAGTCACTGTTTTGAACATTGGAAACACTCAAGGTAGTTACTCTATCGCAAACTAATTAGGTAGTCACAACGGTTGTCACCACTGCGGAGCATAGTGAAGTGTTTGAAGCATGGTAAGGAGAGGGTTAAAGGACCTAATCCTCGTGGGAGCATATGGGTTATTGAATAGGTTAGAAGGCTGAAGCGGTTGTTCGTTGCTCTGTGACGAAATGCCTTTGAAATAGGGTAGCCTCCATTACTTGTTACTTCAGTAACTGACCGTGGGAACTCACAGTTCCGTCGTAGCACTGAGACATGACTTGAGAGGTCATGTCTTTGAGGTGTTATTTCCAGGGCAATCGAAATGCGCACAGAAAGATGCGGGTTGATGGTGTCGCTAATATCTTCTATATTCTATCGAAACAGGTGGGTGTAAAGCAGTTTGCGTTTCCGAACGAAACTACGAATAAGAGAGTACGCACCTATATTGGACTTCCTCTTTAAGACCACAGTTGGGACGCCTATACGGTAAATGCCCCCCAAGCCTTCATCACATCAGAGAAACCCGACCTTTTGGCCTACAGCGTTCAGTTGACGGCTACTCATGACATCGATCCTGTGATGAGCTGGAGTGATAGGTGTAAAGATCCACCAGAACCACTGACTGACATGAACGATAGCGTATGGAAAACCACACACACACATCTGGAACACAAGATGAAACTATCCACTACGGTGTAGGATGAAATCGCAACGGTATTATCAGAAGAAAGTTGCCCTTGAATGTACAACTCACGGTGTCCATCCCAGATCTCCGGGGTTGACGTACAAAATGCCAGCCCTTGATACAGTAGCTGGTGTAGCTGTTTTCAGGTGGCTTATCTCAAATAAAAGCCGCATGCTGTTCGTGAGTGGAATCCGTTCATTACTTGCGAGGGTAAGGACCTTGTTGTCATCCATCACAGTGTTCAGAGATTCGATCCACATCGGATCGATATCGCCATCCAGCACAATCCACTTTGGATCCGGTCCAGTCATATTAGCCAAATCGCGCATGATGACGGAGAAAAGACCTGTGGCGTGAAAAGGATGGAGCAATTCAGAGTTTGGGTTATTAGATAGCATGACGCGTCAACATTACCAAAGTTATAGCATCTATAATGAGGTACTTGGTACAAACCAAACCAAGGAAATATGCATTATGCCACAGCGAAATTTCCTTCGGCCTTAAAGGCGCTAATTAACAACTGTTTTAACCATCTGTTGAACAACTTATGAGTACCAGGCTCCACAAGAAACATTTCTTGCAGCGAGTGGGGAGTTATTTCGGTGTCCGTGACACCAACGACCGGCAACCCACGTGACTAAGCGAAGAATTTTAATTGCCTACGCACCATTCGCTCTTAACCAGCATACATCGCGACAATTCTATCAGCCGCTTGGGGCATGAATAAACTGGATGCATTGGGGCGCATTCGTGTCCTCATTGAGTTAAGCGTGCAGTGATAGTGGAAAATAAACTGTGCATTCATAATTAATTATTCATGTACGTTGGCTCCAAGTCCTTAGCGTCGTGCGGAAACAAAAAGTACTTTATTGAGGGAGATTTATTGCAGCCAGTTCCCAGTCAGGCAGCTCCCCACGCTGCCGGAGAGCCGTAGAATGGCCGTTTTAGCTTGTTGGGACTCATAATCAGCGCGTGCTCCCCCGGTTCCACCTGGGATCGAATTCAAGACCGCGTGGTCCTCTTCCCAACTCTTTGAACCCTATGGATCCGACATTTTTGATGAAAGCATCGGTTTTACATCCATTTATGGTTATTTAAAGGTTAACAATCCATTTTCGAAATTCGCTGCATCAGTCCCAACAGCGTTTTTATTTGAAACGGTGTGATTGGATGGAAGACACCCTAGCTGGTTAGAAACAATCTCGATCCAGATCAGGAAACCATGAGACCCGCGACTTGTGGGGGCGCGGAATTCAGCGGCTTAAATTACTAAGTCCTGTAAGGGAGCAACTGATCAGCAACAAGGCTGGTCACTAATTGGCTGACTTGCCGAACAACCTCCTCGTGGTGCCAGCTGAGTGGTTCGGGATTTTCCCGTTCCAGCAAATGGTTCGGCGGCAGTGTTCCAGGACGTGGTGGGTTTTCGCCTGTCAGGCATTCTTCCTATAAAAAGCTATATATGTCCGTTTAACAACATTGTAAGGTGGCGGACGTGACTCGCCACTAACTAAAGTCACCGCCTCCTTGCTTCATCCTGGCGAAGCATTGTATTCCAGCAAGTTTATGCTGTAATTTTGGGGAGCATTGGGCCCCTGATTGACAAAGGAACAAACGAAAGGTCTATGAACTGTGCAATCAGTCACCGGCTCCAAATGGGCGCGATTCCCTGAATTCGCTCCGCTGCCTTATGGGCATGCTATTCAGCCAAAGGCTCGGGGTGGTGTCCCCTAAGTCAACACCCTACTTCGGCTTGGGCAACCGGGTAGTATCTCGCCCTCTGACGAAACCATGGATTTTGATGTGTTGTATTGTGTTTTCTTTCACTATTTCTGTACCTTGTTTTGAGTTCCATGGTTTCCGATGGTTCAATGTCTATTCATAGACTGTTGCGATATATATATATATATATATATATATATATATATATATTATATATATTATATATAATATATATATAATATATATATATATATAGTAATATATATATATATATATATATATGTATAGATATATATACTACTTGTGATACAGCGCGGCTTGCCTTCTACCGCCATGCTTGTTAGGAGCGTGCAGAGGAGAGAGTTGACAGTCCACTGCCACCACCAGTAGCCTAGTGACTCGCTGGTGGCGAGTCCCACTAAGAAGAAACAGCTGCTCCTCGCTTATCCGGACGTGAACAGGGTATTTGCAAGGCAAATGGTTGAGACGAATCACGTAAAAATTACATCAAAGTTTTCCTACTACCTTTCAACAAGAAGCATCCACATTATAGAGTAGCATGGTAGGAATCCATCAAGAATCAGGGATAGTTCCACAAGTGGCTGTAGTGCTAAAGACAAAAACAGACCTGGAAATTAGGTATTGCCCACCCGAAAACACTGAACAGCCACGACGCGTTTCGATGTAATTTCATCTCATCAGGTGGAGACAGCAGGATTTGAACCCACGATCATTGGAATAGCAGCCAACAATACTACCCCTTTGGCTACCGGGTCACGATGGGCAACACATTTTGTCACAACGGTAGATGACTAATTGGAGGGTCAAGTTTGGATTACACGTTGTGCGATTGGATTGCGACACGCGACCTCAATGTAATGGACTGTGATTCACATTGAAATGAACCTTAGTCACTGCGATCGCTGGGACCGTATTCAAAGTAGATGGAAATTGGGTATTGCCCACCCGAAAACACTGCACAGCCACGACGCGTTTCGATGTAATTTCATCTCATCAGGTGGAGACAGCAGGATTTGAACCCACGATTATTGGACTGGCAGCCAACACTACTACCCTTTGGCTACCTGGTCACGTTGGGCAACACATTTTGTCACAAGGTAGATGACTAATTGATGGTCAAGTTTGGATTACACGTTGTGCGATTGGATTGCGACACGCAACCTCAATGTAATGGACTGTGATTCACATTGAAATGAACCTTAGTCACTGCGATCGCTGGGACCGTATTCAAAGTAGATGGAAATTGGCTATTGCCCACCCGAAAACACTGCACAGCCACGACGCGTTTCGATGTAATTTCATCTCATCAGGTGGAGACAGCAGGATTTGAACACACGATCATTGGAATAGCAGCCAACACTACTACCCCTTTGGCTACCGGGTCACGATGGGCAACACATTTTGTCACAACGGTAGATGACTCATTGCAGGGTCAAGATTGGATTATACGTTGTGTGATTGGATTGCGACACGCAACCTCAATGTAATGGACTGTGATTCACATTGAAATGAACCTTAGTCACTGCGATCGCTGGGACCGAATTCAAAGTAGATGGAAATTGGGTATTGCCCACCCGAAAACACTGCACAGCCACGACGCGTTTCGATGTAATTTCATCTCATCAGGTGGAGACAGCAGGATTTGAACCCACGATCATTGGAATAGCAGCCAACACTACTACCCCTTTGGCTACCGGGTCACGATGGGCAACACATTTTGTCACAACGGTAGATGACTAATTGGAGGGTCAAGTTTGGATTACACGTTGTGTGATTGGATTGCGACACGCAACCTCAATGTAATGGACTGTGATTCACATAGAAATGAACCTTAGTCACTGCGATCGCTGGGACCGTATTCAAAGTAGATGGAAATTGGGTATTGCTCACCAGAAAACACTGCACAGCCACGACGCGTTTCGATGTAATTTCATCCCATCAGGTGGAGACAGCAGGATTTGAACCCACGATCATTGGAATAGCAGCCAACAATACTACCCCTTTGGCTACCGGGTCACGATGGGCAACACATTTTGTCACAACGGTAGATGACTAATTGCAGGGTCAAGTTTGGATTACACGTTGTGTGATTGGATTGCGACACGCAACCTCAATGTAATGGACTGTGATTCACATTGAAATGAACCTTAGTCACTGCGATCGCTGGGACCGTATTCAAAGTAGATGGAAATTGGGTATTGCCCACCCGAAAACACTGCACAGCCACGACG